GGGGGGGGCGTTCATCCTGCCAGCTGTGGAGCTAACGGGCAAACAAATGGCCGCCCTGAATCCCCAGTGAGCTTTCCTGCTGCGCACACACTCCCCAGGCAGGCCTGCTGCTTGCTGAGGCCACCGCCCTGGGCTTCCCTCCTGCCCTCCCCACCAAGAGCCCTTGGCTCCTGGCTCCTTGAAGTCAGGGGTGAAGCGATTAAGTGACTTCCCCAAGTCGCACACGACATCTGTGGCAAAGCCAGATGGCCCCTGTGCTCCATCTCCTCAGGGGTGTCCTTTCCAGCACAAGCAGACAGGCCTGTGCTAGCTCCGATGCCACTAGCTTGCTAAAAGCAGCAGTGCTGGGACAGGGGGCGGTGGGCGCCAGCCCCTCTGAAACCCGAGGTACATAGTTGGGCACTAGCCCAGCCACGGCCCATGCAGCTACACTGGCGTTTGTCACACGCTAGCGCCGAGCTGGCATGGGCACCTCTACAGCCCCGCTCCGACGCACAGCAGGGCCCTGCGGCCCTGTGGGGCGAGGTGTTCTACCGAGTCCTAGCAACAATGGGCAAGAAATGCCAATTATTTGTCAAGAAAAAATTAGGGAAAATGTTTTTTTAAACCTTCCTCCCCCCATTCATTTCATGATACAGGGTTTTTTTGGGGGGAGGAGGGGTCCAAAAGGCATTTTGGTTTAAAAAAATTGATTTTCAAAACCCAATCACTGATTGTTTTGAACTGAAAATCAAACAAAAAGTGGAACATTTTCACTGTCGAGTTTTCAGATTCTGAGTTAGAGTCAGAGTGTGTGTGTGTGTGTGTGTGTGTGTGTGTGTGTGTGTGTGTGAGTTAGTCAGTGTGTGTGTGTGTGTGTGTGCGCGAGTGTGTGTGTGTGTGAGAGTGTGTGTGTGTGTGAGTTAGAGTCAGTGTGTGTGTGTGTGTGTGTGCGAGTGTGTGTGTGTGTGTGAGTGTGTGTGTGTGTGTGAGTTAGAGTCAGTGTGTGTGTGTGTGTGTGTGTGTGTGAGTTAGTCAGTGTGTGTGTGTGTGTGTGTGCGCGAGTGTGTGTGTGTGTGAGTGTGTGTGTGTGTGTGAGTTAGAGTCAGTGTGTGTGTGTGTTGTGTGTGTGTGTGTGTGTGTGTGTGTGAGTGTGAGTGAGTGTGTGTGTGTGTGTGTGTGTGTGAGTGTGTGTGTGTGTGTGTGTGTGAGTTAGTCAGTGTGTGTGTGTGTGTGTGCGAGTGTGTGTGTGTGTGTGAGTGTGTGTGTGTGTGTGAGTTAGAGTCAGTGTGTGTGTGTGTGTGTGTGTGTGAGTTAGTGTGTGTGTGTGTGTGTGAGTTAGTCAGTGTGTGTGTGTGTGTGTGCGAGTGTGTGTGTGTGTGTGAGTGTGTGTGTGTGTGTGAGTTAGAGTCAGTGTGTGTGTGTGTGTGTGTGTGTGTGTGTGTGTGTGTGTGTTTTGGTTTTCTCCAAACTGCCATTTCCCATCCAAAAATCCTGCAGTGCGCCCAGTTTTCATGACTAATCAGTTGGCCATGCTAAACAGGCCCTCCGCCTCACAGTGAAGAACTGGGAACCGCCCTGGGCCAGTGGGCTGTGCAGTTGTACTTGCGGCGTAGTTACCCTCCGCACCCTTTGTAGACAGCTTCCCCTCGGCACCTGCTTTGCTCCCCTTCTTATGGGTGGGTAATGATAATGATCATAATAAAACCCGCTCCCTCCGACACCCGTTGCCTTGTGAACCACGTGCCCTCTCCTGGCGACTGACAAGACTCACGCTCCAGAAGGACCTGCAGTGACAGGCTGACAGCGAAGCCGTGAACAATGTGTAAGGGGACTGTTGCCCCTCACTAAAACTCTGTGGGAGTTTTTGGTTTGCCAGCTCGCAGTATCTGAAGGGGAAGAGTTCATGAGACTGACTGACCCAGAGACAATGGAAAGCAGCCAACACTCCAGCTCAGCCTGATTGACAGGTTGGACAGGCCAGTGAGGGAGGGGAGAGGCCAGGCCCCGTCCTCCCTGTGAGCTGGGATTGTTCTGGCTCTCTCTGAACAAACAAGCTGTGCTGCAAAGACAGAGAGCTGAAATAGGAGGACAAGCTGTGTGCAGAAGAAGTCCTGCAAAAACAGGGAGCTGAGAGACGGCCGAGCAAAGCAAGCTGTGTGCTGAGGGGCAGTTTTTGCAGAGCTCAGCCTGACACACACAGCTCAAGGAGCGCAGACCCTGTGTTGAGCAGCAGACTGGCAGTGCTCAGAGAGCCAAAAGGAACAGAGAAGCAACGCAAGGAGCTAGAGACTGGCCACACAGCACAGCCTGCAGCTGGATGTGGTGAGCAGCTGGGACCTGCAAAGTGTGGGGAGAGGCTCTGGCCTGGGGGGGGGGGTACTAAAACTCCGTGGGAGTTTTTTGGTTTACCAGCTTCAGAAGGGGAAGGGTTCATGAGACTGACAGACCCCAGAGACAATGGAAAGCAGTCAACACTCCAGCTCAGCCTGACTGACAGGTTGTAAGTGGGGATTGTTCTGGCTCTGTCTCTGAACAAACAAGCTGTGTGCAGAAGAGGTCCTGCAAAGACAGAGAGCTGAAAGAGGAGTACAAGAAGAAGTCCTGCAGCGACAGAACCAGACACAGACAGGCCAAGCAGTGCAGACCCTGTGTTGAGCAGCAGACTGGCAGTGCTCAGAAAGCCAAAAGGAACAGAGAAGCAACACAAGGAGCTGGAACTGGCCCAGCAGCACAGCCTGCAGCTGGATGTGGTGAGCTACTGGGACCTGCAAAGTGTGGGGAAAGGCTCTGGACTGGGAGAGGGGTCTGGCCACTTAGAGCTTGAGGCTGTGTGGTCACTGCCAGAGCAAGCGTTTCCAGCCTGCAGCCCCCCCCCCTGCAGCACATCTAAGGGGCCTCTAAGGAAGAGACTGTGGACTGTCCTTATACTCTGCAGGCTGCTGTTTTGATGTCCCTGTGCTACAGAGCAGGGCTGTGTGTTCTCATTTAACCATTCTCATTTTTTTCTTATTCTTTTCTCTTTAATCCGTTGTTGTTTAATAAATTGTATTTGCTTTGAACCTTATGAAGTGATCACTGGGCCAAGAAGGCCTGCAGTGTAAAGAGAGCACCTCGGAGTGGGGACACCCTAACTCCTGCCCCTAGTGACTACAAGGTCAGGGATTAAGCCCCAGGAAACCTGGGCCCAGCCTTGTTGGGGTTTCAAGGGCTCTGCTACTCAGGAGAGTGGAGGGGGAGCCCTCAGGATCAGGGAGCCGTGGGGTAAAGGAAGTGGGAGCGGGGACTCAGATCCTTTCGCTGGTTCATTTCACCGGGGTGTATAGAAGCCAGGAAAGTTCCCCACAATAGCAGGATCATTCCCCCGCTTACACATGGCAAGGCCTGGCTGAGAATTGACACCCACGTGCAATGCTAAGTGTGGGGCTGGAGGCTGCCGGCGCATGAGGCAAGATTTGGGTTAGTCACTCAGAGGCTGGCTCAGGAGACCGGTAGTGCTTCCCGGAGGGTTCTGTGCTGTGAAAGATTTGGGCCCATCTGTCCCTGGGGGCGAGATTTCCCAGTGGAGAGTTTGCACAGGAGGATCTATGGGGGGAGCAGGTACCCTGGGAACAGGGAAATAATGTATGACCTCAGAGCAGGGAAGGGGTTACATTCGTATGGGTCTCAGGTAGAGGGTTAAGTTCCCCACATCTGGGAGTGGAGGCTGGGTGAATACAGGGCTCTGGTTCCCCACAGGGGAGGGGTGGGAGACCCAGCCAACAACAGGGGCTCAGCTCAAATGGGAGGGTTTTCCCCTGGTGCAGCTGGAAACCGCTGGAGCTCAGGATGTGAACTGTGCATGAGCTCTTACCCTGGCCACTTCCATTTGTGTGAAGCAGGCTGTGGCCTGATGTGTGGCCAGTCCCAGCCTGCCTGAGACAGTCTGTGTGCATGTGGGGAAAACAATGTCACACACCAGGGGGCTGAGTGTGAAAATGGCCCCAGGGGTTGGGAAATGAACACTCAGTACCCAAAACCAGGTCAGTTCCAGACTAGTCGAGTTCCTCTGGACTTGGAACTTTCCTAACCACCTCACCCAGCACTGACAGACCTGGACTCCACAGACTCATCTCTTTTTGAGCCCATTTATACCTTTGGTCTTTACAACATGCCCCAGCAAGGAGTTCCACAGGTGTGCTGTGTGAAGAAGTATTTCCTTATGTTTGTTTTAAACCTGCTGCCTATTAATTTCATCTGCTGACCCCTAATTCTTGCATTATGGGAAGGGGCAGATAACACTTCTCCATTCACTTTCTCCACACCAGGCATGATTTTGTAGCCTTCTGTCGCATCCCCCCGAATGGTGTCTTTTCCCAGCTAGTCTGAAAACCCCCACTGCTTGTGTTTTCCTGTCTAGGCTCTCCCTTGGAGACGTTGCAATTACTTGATTAGCGTGTTGCTCCAACTGCAAATCGGCTCGTGGTGCGAAGTATGAAGTGCTCGGTTACACATAGACCGACCGAGAGAGAAACATCATCTCCCGGAAGGAAATCACTCTCTCACCTGTTGGGGAGTGTAGTGTTCAGCAGTGACGTGTAACTCCTCACGTATTATCCAGCCGGACATCGCACGGTAATTCTGAGGGCTGGTGTGACACAGGCTCACCCTTTGGTGAAGTGCACGGCCGGCCTTACCATGAGGCGAACTGAGGCAGCCGCCTCGGGTGCCAGACTGGGGGCGCCATAGGACCCAGGGTGTAGACAATTGTGTCTGTGCTGGTGCAGCATGGGGGCATGGGGCATCAGCTGAGCTCCCGGCCTCAGGTGCCACAGTGCTGTGGGCCGGCCCTGGTGAAGTAGTTTGTAGATACCTGGGATAGGGGATTCCCCGTTTGCAGCCCACGCCCTCTGCCAGGGGGCACCACAGGCCCTTGGGTCACATGGAAAAGGTCAAGGAGAGGGCTGGGGCAAACGGGCACGGGCAGGACAGCCAGGCGGGGGCCATGGGGCAGGCGGGGCCTTGGCCAGAAGGGGTGGACTGGGGCAGCCAGACCTCAGCGCTGTGGGGATTGTTCTGGAATCGCTAGGCCCTGGGCAGTTGCCCCTCCCTCCAGCAGACCTGGGTGCACAGGGCGCCGTGTGCTCTGGGCGGCGGACCCCCTGCTCGGGCTGGAGTCTCAGGCTGGCCCCGCTCCCCCCAGCCACGGAGCGGGGAACAGGGTGCCAGGGGCTCCGTGGTCCAGTTCTGGCTCGAGGGCTGCTGGGGTCAAGGTGGCGGGGCGCTTCCCCGCAGCTCCTGCTGGCAGGGGGGTGTCCCGCCTCTTCCCGCGGAGGGTGGCAAAGGTCCGTCTCTGCTGACTCCTCGCCCCACACGAAAGCGCTGCCGCGTGCCGGCGCGAGTCGCCTCAGCCTGTGTTCTGTCGGGCCGAGCACCGAGCAAATGGCATTTGCAGCCCAGCCAATCGCGGCGCTCCAGAACCTCCTGGTGCCGATAGCGGCAGCCTGCCCAACTCCCGGTCACGGGTGTCTCCAGGGATCGCTGCCTCGGTCTCGTGTGCAGGCCCTGAGGAGTCGGGGAGGGGTGCGCTGCAAAGTCAGGGGCAGCCGGGGTAGGTGGAGGCCTGAAATCCGAGCTTAGTGACACTGCTGTGATCTTCCTGCGATCCACCACACCTGCCTGTCCAGGCCTCCTGCTTTGTCTTTGGCATCTTCCATGCCATCTCCTCCCTCAGCTCCAGTTATCACTGGCATCCGGCACCAGTCGACCCTCGGGATTTGTCCAGGAAGCCGATGTGCTAGGCGCTGTACGCACAGAACATAAGGACAGGCTCTGCCCCCAAGAGCTTACAGGCTGAGAGTGCTTCTCTCCAGTGAAATAATGGAGCCGACTATTTCACCAGGAGGGTGGGGAAGCGCTGGGCTGGGTTCCCTATGGAGGGGGTGGGGTCTCCATCCCTAGAGGTGTTTAAGTCTCGGCTTGACAAAGCCCTGGCTGGGTTGATTGAGTTGGGTTGGTCCTGCCTAGAGCAGGGGGCTGGACTTGATGACTCCTGAGGGCTCTTCCAGCTCCATGGTTCTGTGATTCTAAGCCCGTTACATCTGGCCTTCCCTTCCGTGGACATGAAGAACAATTGACGAGGGCTGTTGCAAAGAGGATGGTTAACACATCCGACGACTCTTAGCAAGGCCTGCCCTTGGTCTTCTACACATGCCCAGAAGGAGCTTTTTTAACCTTTTCTCATAGGCCAGGTTTTCCAAATATTTTCTCACTTTTATTGCTCTCCTCTGGACCCTCTCCCATTTCCCCACATCTTTGTTCAAGGGCGGAGCCCAGACCTGGACTCAGGAGGCCCGGGGAGGCCTTGCGAGGGCCAAGTAGAGCGGAACAGTTACCACCTGTGTCTTACACCCGACACCCTTTTCATGCACCCCAGAGCGGCACTTGCCTGGTCTGCAACCACAGCACAGTGTTGACTCATATTCAGTCACTTGGCACCTGCAGGTCCTCTGCTGGAAATCAGTAGGAAACCCAGGAAATTCAAGTGGGAAGACAGCGCTAAAACCAACCTGAGCATGCTGATGTGTGGACATGCCCCGGGAAGACCTCCCGGCTGCGGGAACGCCTCCCTGTAGTGCCGTGTGGTGGCCCCGGTCACATTACAATGATCTTTTTTAAAGGGATGTTTTATTTTCCCCTGTTCAAGGTCTAAAGCAGCCTTTGACCTTCATGGGAGCCAGGCCCAAGAGGGCGGCAGAGAGCTGGTCTGCATGAACGCGGGTGTGAACGGCACAAGCTCACTGCAGGGGGTGCAAGAGGATATATCTGGAGGAAAATCGTTGCAGCGCCAGCGGCCGAGCTGGGAAGGTTTCCGGGAATCCCAGCTGCTAGGCAGAGATGAGTTTGCACGTGACTGCGATCTTGGGCAGAGGCACCGCGTCCCAGAGGAGGGAGTTGGTAAGTCTCTGTGCCCAGCTCTAGGGCTTAGATTGGCATTTTGCAATTTGCCCTGAATAAGGCTCCCATGGATGCTGTCAGCCCCGACGACTGGGCAGGGCCACCCAGACCGCTGCCAGGGCCCGAAGATTCCCTGGGACCCCCAGGACCCTCGCTGGCACCTGGACCCAGAGCCCATGGACATGCTGCCAGCCCCTTCGTCCCCCGTGGACCCTGCAGATCCATTGTGGAGCCAAGTGCAGCCCCGGGGGAACCGGGAGCAGCCCAGGAGTAGCGGAGACGGAGCTCAGCTGCTTGGCGTGTTGCAGTCAGGATCCCTGCCGACCCAGAGACAGTCTCTTAGGGCCCTGGGCTGGGATGCAGTGGAGCGGATGGGCCTGCAACGCCAACTTACCACCGGCTGAGATGCTGCCTTGGGTCGCCTAATGGGAGTCCCGCCGGGGCCTGATCCTCAGCCAGGGCGAGGCAGCTGTCTGCTAGCCCTCCCGATCAGTGTTGCCCTATAGCTAGCTGGGGGTGGATTCCCGTGGCGTAGCACTGCCGTAGCTGCTTCGGTCACCACCCCAGCTCTAACCGGGGGGACTGGCTGGGCTCCCGTACACCCAGCTGATCACCCCAGCTCCCAGAATAGCTTCTAGTGTACCTCAGTGGGCCAGCCTGGCACAGAAGCCCAGCGTCGGAGACTGTCCCAACCGTTCCCGCCACAGCCCCCGAGCTGGGCCAGAAGTCAAGTAAATTCCCGCTTGGGGGCCAGAGCCTCAGCTGGTGTAAATCAGTGCAGCACAGGAGCCGCCTGGCTTTACCCCTGCTCAGGACGTGGCCTGGGAGGGCTGGGGAAGGTCTATTCCCCCAGCTGCAGAGTCTGGCGACCGGTGGGTGCTGAGTCACCCTAGCAAGTGCAGGAGCAGGGAAGGAAACAGAAAGGGACACAAGGTCTGTGAAGCTGCCTGGAGCCGCGCAAAGGGCTTTCCAAAGCGGCGGGGAGCGAGTGGGGCGCAGAGAGCGGGGAGGCGGAGGAGGGCTGGCCAGGTGGCAGGGGAGGGGTGACCGGCAGACCCAAAGTGGAGTACATCTGCCAGGAGAGGGCGATTTAGCCCCAAGGCAGCGTGCGCGGCTGGGAGCCCCTCTCAGGAGATCATGGCAGTGTCATGGCCGGCAGAGCTGGCTTTAGGAAGTGCGGGGCCCAATTCGAACCATTTCCACAGGGCCCTGGCAGCCAGGAATTTTTGTTGAGCGAAAAAACCCCAAACCCCACTGTGAGGTAGTGGGGGTACCTGGCTGGTTTCTATGCTGCTGGCTCTGGGGTAACCCCCACTGGCTGCCGTGGGTGCCACGACCCAGCAAAACAGGATGAGTCACTATGCAAACCAGTGGCCAGACACCCCCCATGGAGAGGAACAAAGGAAGGTGGATGCTGCCCTGGCTGGGGGGCAGGGCTGGAAGTTGGTTAGTGAGTTGCTGGCTGTCTGAGAGCATGGAGGAGAGCCTAGGGGAAGGGGCTGGAATTTAGGGGCCCAGTCTCCCCCATCTCAAGGGGGCCTGAGGCATCCTAGCCCAGCTCTGTGACCAGATTACATCTGTGCTGTGCTGTATCCTGGAGAGGCAATAAACTTCCTCTATTCCACCGGCTGGTGCAGTCTGTTTGTGCCGTTTCGGGGTGCAGGAGACGGGGGACCCCAACGTGCCGTCACACCCACCATACACAAAAAAAGAGTCACAGCCCCTTGGAATCCAGGGAAGCCGCCGCGCTCCTCCTCCGGGCCGATGCCCCCTCCCGCAGCGCGCCCGTATGCCACTGAGCTGCGGGAGGGGAGCGGCCGGCGTGGGGCCCTCTTAGGCGCGGGGCCCGATTCGGGGGAATCGGTCAAATCGGCCTAACGCCAGCCCTGATGGCTGCAGAGACAAAGCCCTTGTCATCCATCCATTCGCTGGCCTGGCTGCCAGGCGCCCCGGAGCAGAGACACGTCTCACCAGGAGGCGCGCTCGGAAGAGGCCTTAGGCAAGAGTTCCTGAGTTAGGGCCGGTGCTGGGGGCCTGCCGCTGGAGGGAAGAGGGCGAAGGAAACAAGAAGCTCTTTCTCCAGCCACGCTCGGGCTGCTGTAAACCAGCTGTGCAATGGGGCTCATTCTATCCCAGCCAGGAGCAGGTCCTCTGTGTGCACCCCCTGGGGCTCTGATCACAGCAACTCGGGCCACCTCCCCTTTGCCATGCCACGGGCTGCGCGTGGCCCTGCCCTGGGGTGCGCCCTGTTGAGCACAAACAGTGTCAGGGCACCAGCTTCCCATCAGCCACTGCCTAAGAGACAGCTCCGCCACGCACCCACCACACAGGGCCGGCCCAAGGGGTTTAGGTGCCCTAGGCGAGCAATGACTTTGGCACCTCCCCCGCCACACTCAAAACAGAGCAAAATGACAGGTGTCAAGTGAAATGTTACCTTTAGTTATGTGGCCCTGGACACGAACAACCTAAAAATAAAAACCATAGAATCCTAGAGCTGGAAGAGCCCTCAGGAGTCATCAAGTCCAGCCCCCTGCCCAGGACCAATCCAACTAAACCATCCTAGCCAGGGCTTGGTCAACCCGGGACTTAAAAACCTCCAGGGATGGAGATTCCACCCTCCCGCCCCCCAGGGAACCCATCCCGGGGCTTCCCCTCCTACCTGGGGAAATCGTTTTTCCTAATATCCAACCTAGACCTCCCCCACTCCTGTCAATACCCCTCCCACCAGCATTGATCTCTTCTACTTCTCACTAGTGCCGGCACAATTCGTGTGTGGAGGGCAAGCCGCCCCGGAGCGACACTTTGAAGTGTTCACCCTTTTGAGCTGTACACGCTGCGTCTGGTCAGCACTACAAACAGCTGCATTTCGAGCCGCAATTGTCTTCCTTGGGGTCCCGGTTGTCACACGTGAGAACAGCCGACTGGCGAGCAACACTGACCCAGTGGTGTGACTGGGCAGACCCCCGCCTCAGGCAACACACAGGCAGCGCACTCTGGAAGCTGTGCCTTGACCCATTTTACCTGTATTTACGTACACAGCCAGGCACCACAATGGGCTGTGACTCACAGAGCTCAGAGCCTGACGCAGCCGCGCCGCCTGACAACACAACATTCGATACTGGCGTTTATAAAAGACCAGAAGATTTCTCTGGCAGGGCTCAGCTCCGGAAATAAGCTTTCTTTCTCTTCATTGGAATCCTTGCTCGGGGATGGGAATGGGGGCTCAGGTTGCAGGCTGCCCCCAGAAGAGAGGACAACCCCAACCCCCTCTCACCGCAGCAGCGTGGGGCTAGGTGGGAAGCGCCTCTCCATGGCCGCTGCAGCTGCAATGGGCACAGCTGGCGGAGGGGTGCATGTCCCCCGCTGGGGAACAGACACACAAACAAACACTCTGATAGCTTTCCCTTTCTCCACCCTGCTTCCTGCTGCCCCCGTGGGGTTAGAACTGCCCTGGTTCCTATCGGTCTCTTGCTGCCCCCTGTGGTCATTCTGCAGTATAACTGTCCCTCCTAGCTGCTGCTTTACATTTTGTGAGACACAACCAAATTGCAGGCACATCCCATATTACTGTATTTTAAATAGAGAAAAAATTCACTTTCATCTGAGTTGATGCCCCTTACAGCTGGGGCCCTAGTGCACCCATACGGTCGGGCCTGCCCTGCCACCCCACACATACCTGTGGGCGCCTTTGTGATGGCGGCCTCAGCTGAGGCATTGCCTTTGGCAAGTGTCTTGTTTGGAACCCAAGGAGGCTGGCGGAGAGTTTCCACAGCCCGCTCCTCAGCTCTCACGCTGTGTGCTGCACCGAGGCACCCAACTCCCTTTGAACTCCAATAGGAGTTAGGTACCCTTCTGGGTGGATTCTTCCGTAACTGAGTGCATCGTCTGCAGAAGCAGCTGAGACTAATCACTGTTGAGACAGGGCCCCCAGTTCAGCCGGGTAAATAAGCGTCTGTCCCATTGTTAAGCATGTGCCACCAATAGGGCTGGTCACAAGCTAGGCATGTGCCTTGCTGGCTTGGGGCCGGGACACTGGACTAGAAAGCCCCCCGGTCCGGTCTATGACGGCAATTTCAGGAGCATTGGTAAACTCTGGATCACCGGAGATTGGAGAGTTTGTTGTTACTGCAACACATTTTGCCATAATCACAGAAACTGTCAGACTTTCAGGCCTGCTTCCCATTTCATATCTCAGTGCGCCACACCCGCTCTGCCTTCTAAATTTAGCTCTTCTGGGAGTGAAGGGGGGGTGCAGGGGCTGGGGTTTGCCTTCTGCTTCCCTTGCCTCGTCAAAGAGAGTTTGACTTGAAAGGATCCTGGTTCTAAGTGAAGGTGACAGAGAACATGCCTCATTAAAAATGTTCAAGTGACATTCCGGGTGCAGCGGAATGCCTTTGAAATCTCTCATGTTACCAATACCCCACAGCAGCAGCGGCTCAGAGAGACTGTGTCGAGGAGGCATTAAGAATCTCATTTTACAGCTCTCGTCAATTTTGCAGTGTCTCTCCCCGGTAAAGCCTTGGATAGCTAGCGAGTGGGCATGTTTTCCAGACTAGTAAATGAAAATAGATTTATAAGGCCCACGCTTCCCAGCCTTCCCCCGGCACCAAACTTCCCACCCCCTAAAACAGCTCATTTGCTAGGTAATGAGTTGTTTTCATCTAATTATAACTCTGCCTCCCTAATCCTGCTTCCCCGGGTGCCCTGGGCTATGAGATGTTTAGGCAAAAGAGACTTTGCTGCTCAAAGTTACCTGCTTGAAACATCTGTCTTGCTTAGCCAGAGGGATTGGTGTAAATCAGCGGGATCTAGGAGTGGTCACCCAGGGCTCTGCAGTGACGTTCTACATCAGAGAACACTTGGGGGGCAGATCAGGAGCTACCTGTGCTGTACTTGCATCAAGGGCTCCTCTTGCATTTCTCATCTTCAGACACGTGTCAAGCCATCCTCTTTCTGTGACTCTGAGAGCTCAAGGGCCAAGCAGGCTGCAGACACTTTCCTGCTTGGACAGCAAGGGAAGGTGGGAGGTGGCTCTGTAGAGGGAGCTGTCCATGCGGAGCCAGTGCGGGACCTATGCTGCAGTGTGCTGGGAAGGGGATGCTGCTCTGCAGGGACCAGGGTGGGAGCCAGTACAGACCCCAGTGCTCCCATGCTGTGCTGCAGAGAGCAGTGAAGGTGGCTCAGTGGGGATGGAGCATGCTCCGCCCTCAGGCAATGCTGAATGAGCCACCAAGCTGCCAGGCCCAAGATGTAGACTCTAGGGGGATTTTAGGCTGCTGGAAGGAAATGTGGGGCCGTAGCCTGAGGCAAAGATTTCATGTATCTTCTCCACAATAGCCTTGTCTTCCTTGACTGCTCCCATAGCACCTTGACTGGCCAGTTGCAGCTTCCTGGCCTTTCGCGCCCCCCAGCCAGTTCAGTGTGTCTCTGAGTCAGGACGTAGCTGGGTGAGTAAGCACAGGAGAACTTCCCCCTTCCTGGGGGCTGTGTTGTGGAGAGGCACAGAGATGGCAAAAGAACTTTCTGGGGAGCCAAAAGTTCCTGCTGTCTGTGGGGGAAGCTCTGGGGCAGCGGGGCCCTCTCCCCCAGCTGTTTCATGCCATAAACTGGAGACAGGAGAGGAGTAAATATTGGAATAAATTGCCAAAGGAGGTGGTGGAATCTCCCTCTCTGGAGATATTTAAGAACAGGTTAGATAGACATCTGTCAGGGATGGTGTAGATGGAGCTTGGTCCTGCCTTGAGGGCGGGGGGCTGGACTCGATGACCTCTCGAGGTCCCTTCCAGTCCTATGATTCTATGATTCTATGAGTGACACTCAGTGTGTGTGGGGGGGGACCCTGCTGGCTGAGCAGTGGTCTCAAGGTGCCTATTTTTAAGATGGGGAAACTGAGGCATCCCAAGCTGGATTTTTAAAGCTAATTTGGTCCAAAGATTCAGAAGGGAGCCTGCAGGGTGCAACTGGAATTCTAACACAGCACCTATATAGATCTGAAAAATCCAGCCCTAAGCTAGTCTCCAGGTGCCCAGATAAGTGCTTTACCCATTGGGCCATCTGACCTCCTTGATAGGTGCACCCACCCTCCAAATGAGCTGTGCTCATTCTCATCATTCCCATCACATGCTGCTGCCCCGGCATTGGCTGGGACAGGTGGCCTCCCACTTTCCAGAGGTTAGGGAGGGGCAGGAGGTTAGCTTCCTGACCACGGGCAGCACAGCTGGATGCAGACCCACTC